CAAACTGACAAAAGAAAAACAGGAGAGGAGCAGATAACCCATATAAGAAATGAGATGGGTGATATCACAACAGACCCAACTGAAATTAAAAGAATCATTAACAGAATACTATAAAAAATTGCACTCTAACAAATTTGAAAACCTAGGGGAAATGGACAAACTTCTAGAAACTCACTACCTACCTAAACTAACACAAACAGGTAGAACAACTAAATAAACCCATAACAAAAGAAGATATTGAAAAAGTAATTAAAAAACTCCCAATAAAAAAAAGCCCTGGCCCGGATAGCTTCACTGGAGAATTCTATCAAACTTTCAGAAAAGAGTTAACACCACTAATACTAAAGGTATTTCAGAGCATAGAAAAGGATGGGATACTCCCAAACTCATTCTATGAAGCCAGCATAACCCTGATACCAAAACCAAGTAAAGACACCACAAAAAAAGAAAATTAAAGACCAATATCCCTCATGAACACTGACACAAAAATCCTCAACAAAATTCTAGCCAATAGAACTCAGCAACATATCAAAAACATAATTCATCATGATCAAGTGGGATTTATATCAGGTATGCAGGGATGGTTCAACATTAGAAAAACAATCATTGTAATCCATCACATAAATAAAACAAAAGACTTGAACCACACGATCTTATCAATCGATGTAGAAAAGGCATTTGACAGAGTCCAACACCCATTCATGACAAAAACTCTCAACAAAATAGGAATAGAAGGTAAATTCCCCAATATAATTAAAGGCATTTATACAAAGCCAACAGCCAACATCATCCTAAATGGAGAGACTTTGAAAGCAATCCTCTTGAGAATGGGAACCAGACAAGGATGCCCTTTATCACCACTCTTATTCAACATTGTGCTGGAGATCCTAGCCAGAGCAATTAAGCTACAAAAAGAAATAAAGGGCATCCAAACCGGTAAGGAAGAAGTAAAAAGTATCTCTATTTGCAGATGATATGATCTTATACACAGAAAACCACAAGAATCCACAAGAAAACTACTTGAACAAACAGAAGATTTCAGCAAAGTGCCAGGATACAAGATGAACATACAAAAATCAGTTGGATTCCTTTACACCAACAGAGAACCTCAAACAGGAAATCACCAAATGAATACCATTTACAACAGCCCCCAAGAAGATAAAATACTTAGGAATAAATCTAACCAGAGATGTGAAAGACCTATACAACGAAAACTACAAGAAACTACTGCAAGAAACCAAAAGAGACCTGCGTAAGTGGAAAAGCATACTTTGCTCATGGATAGGTAGACTCAAATTGTGAAAATGTCAATTCTACTGAAAGCGATCTACAGATACAATGCAATCCCAAATCCAAATTCCACTGGCATTTTTTAATGAGATGGAGAAACAAATCACTGACTTAATATGGAAAGGGAAGAGGCCCCGAATAAGTAAAGCATTATTCAAGAAGAACAACAAAGAGGGAGGCCTCAGACTACCTGATTTTAGAACCTATTATACTGCCACAGTAGTCAAAACAGCCTGGTATTGGTACAACAGATACATAAACCAATGGAACAGAATTGAGAATCCAGACATAAATTCATCCACCTACAAGCAGCTGGTATCTGACAAAGGCCCAAAGTCCCTTGGGGAAAAGACAGTCTCTTTAACAAATGGTGCTGGCATAACTGGATATCCATCTGCAAAAAACTGAAACAAGACCCATACCTTACACCACGCACAAAAACTAATTCAAACTGGATCAAAGACTTAAGTATAAAATCGAAAATGATAAAGATCATGGCAGAAAAAATAGGCACAATGCTAGGAGCCCTTATACATGGCATAAACACAATACGAACCATAAGTAACAATGCACAAGCACCAGAAACTGGATAAACGGGAGCTCCTAAAATTCAAACACTTATGCTCATCAAAAGACTTCACCAAAAGAGTCAAAAGACAATCTACAGACTGGGAAAAAAATTTTGGCTATGACAAGTCCGATCAGCGTCTAATCTCTAAAATCTATAAGATACTGCAAAAACCTCAACAACAAAAAGACAAATTACCCAATTAAAAAGCGGGTAAAGGATATGAATGGGCACTTCGCCAAAGAAGATATTCAGGCGACTAACAGACACATGAAGAAATGCTCACAATAATTAGCCATTAGAGAAATGCAGAGCAAAACTACAATGAGATATCATCTCACCCCAACAAGGCTACCCTTAATCCAAAAAACACAAAATAATAAATGCTGGAGAGGTTGTGGAGAGACTAGAACACTTATACCCTGTTGGTGGAAATGTAAAATGATACAACCACTTTGGAAATCGATTTGACGCTTCGTTAAAAAAGCTAGAAATAGAAGTATCATACGATCCAGCTATCCCACTCCTTGGAATACATCCGAGGGAAATAAAAGCCGCCACACTAATAGATATATGCACACCCATGTTCACTGCAGCACTGTTCACAATAGCAAAAAGATGGAAACAACCTAGGTGCCCCATCAACGGACAAATGGATAAACAAATTATAGTATATCCACACAATGGAATACTATACAACAATAAAGAACAAATGAAGCCGTGAAACATAACACGGAGGAAGCTGGAGGTCATTATGCTGAGTGAATTAGTCAGTCACAGAAGGACAAATATTATATAAGACCACTATTATAAGAACTCAAGAAAAGGTTTAAACACAGAAGAAAACATTCTTTGATGGTTACAGGGGTGGGGAGGGAGGGTGAGGGTTATTCACTAACTAGATAGTAGACAAGAATTATCTTAGGTGAAGGGAAGAAGGACAGCACACACTACAGGAGAAGTCAGCACAAACGGACTAAACCAAAGCTAAGAAGTTTCCTGAATACAACCAAACACTTCAAGGGACAGATAGCAGGGGTAAGGGTCTGGGGACCATGCTTTCAGCGGACATCTAGGTCAACTGGCATAATAAAGCTTATTAAGAAAATGTTCTGCATCCTTCTTTGGTGAGTGGCATCTGGGGTCTTAAAAGCTTGCAAGCGGCCATCTAAGATGCATCAATTGGTCCCAACCACCTGGAGTAAAGGAGAATGAAGAACACCAAGGACACAAGGAAAGTATTAGCCCAAGAGAAGGAAAGGGCCACATAAACCAGAGACTTCATCAGCCTGAGATCAGAATGGTGCCCGGCTACCACCAATGACCGCCCTGACAGGGAACACAACAGAGAGTCCCGGATGGAGCAGGAGAAAGGTGGGGTGCAGAACTCAAATTCTAGCAAAAATACCAGACGTAATGGTCTGACTGAGACTGGAGGAACCCCAGAAAGCATGGCCCCTGGATTCTCTTATTAGCCAAGAAGTAAAACAATTTCCGAGGCCAACTGTTCAGACAAGGACTGGACTGGACTGTGGGAGAAAAAATGACACTCGTGAGGAATGTCTCTCTTAGCTCAAGTAGATAAAAGAGACTGAACAGGTAGCTTCTGTCTGGAGGTGAGATGAGAAGGCAGAGCGGGTTAGGAGCTGGTTGAATGGACATGGGGAATCAGGGGTGGAAAGGAGGAGTGTGCTGTCACAGTATGGGGAGAGCAATTAGAGTCACCTAACAATGTATGTATAAATTTTTGTATGGGAATAAATAAAAAAAAGAACAAAAACACTATTTTATATTTAATTTCATTAGTTTAATCTTCTCAACATTATAATGTTTTTCATACAAATGTAATTTTCAGGTATTTTACATTTAAGTTTTTGTGGGGTTTGGTTTTGAATCCATTTCAAGCATTGTTTCAATGAAGAAATGTATTCCAAGCGCTATCCAATTGATTAGTAAATATTTTTGAAATACAGGAAGTCCTAAAATTCTAAAATATAAGTGTTCTATATAATTAAGAGTAAATGTGAGATTTCTTTTAGAGCATCAGAGATCTAATACATTTTGTGAGAAATTATAAGATAACCACTACGGACACTCTCTCTTTAGGGGGCAAAGGAAGAAAGGTTCATAATTTTTGTACCCTTGTTAAAAGGTCTGGACTTGTCGTGCTGAGGAAGAATGATAATCACATAATAAGCCTAAAGTTGAACAATTTTCAAATATACTCAAACTGCAAATCTATCAAAGCAAAACTGCCTCAATTAAGTTTAATACAGTTCATGTTGCAAAATACAACCTGCCTTACCTTAATGTAATTTCCCAACGCACTGAATTTAAACACTGCCTGGAAAGGTTTTCGATCAATAGGACAGGAAGCCATTGTCTGAAAAAGGATTAACAAATTATAACTTTAGAAATTTCTTTAGAACAGATCAATTAAACTAAACCAAACATATAGTAAGTTTTTCACAATAACACGAAAAATCAGAAAAATGCTTATCCCCACAAAGGCAATGGGAATGAAATACTTTCAGCCTGTATCATGCCTCAGAGCAAGAAATATTTTAAATTTGTTTCATTTCACTCAAACATTTACTGAGCACCTGCTACATGCTAGATAATTAGAATACAACCACAAACAAGAGAGACAAGAACTCTGTTGCCATCTATTAAGACCTGCTGCCCATTAAAGAACTACTGGTATAACGAAAGGAGCCCTAGGCTGAAATCAGTAGCTCTGTGATTGAAAGCTGGCTCTGTTATGCTAAATCTGGGAAACTTTAAATTATCTGTAAAAGGAATGGCCTGGACAGGTTCCTTATAGATCTAAATATTATATAACTTAATACCCACCTCTCCTCAAATTATTTTGAATAGGCAACATGTGCCCATGATAAAAACATTTAAAAAAATACAAAGAAAATTAAGGATTTCTCCCATCCCTTCCCTCAGTCACCCATATCTCCCCCACCCCAGGCAGCTTCTTATAGATCCTTTTGGACATAGCCAGTGCATATACATATAAATGTGCATCTTTTTAATATATAATACAATTATTTAAATGCTGGACTGAATTTTGCCTTTTGTTCTCTTAATTATGTATCTTAAATTGATCCATACTAGTAATCTAGAGCTACCTCATTCTTAACAGCATAATGTCATAATAGTTTGAATTTACACTTCCTTTTTTATGAGTAAGTTGAGCATATTTTCACATCTGTAAGTACTATTTAATGTTCCTTTTCTTTAAAGTGTCTATTCATGTTCTTTTTAATTAGGTTGCTGATGTTTTGAAAACTTGTATGTAGGCATTCATTATATTTATGGAAATTGGTTCTATGATGATTTTAAACCAACTTACTTATTTTGATATAAACATATTTGCTGTGCTCTCAAAATTACTCTCCATCAACTATAATTAAGAGTTTTTCTCATAATGCTAGTAAATATTTATATAAGAATGGGCTTTATTATTTAAATAACATAAGATGGAGTATGTTTCTAAAAGGGTAGGAGGGAAGATTCTCCAGCCTATGAATAAAATACCAAAAGATGATATTAATACCTATGGTTACAAAAGTAAAAAAGATTTTAACAATTTAACAGAATAGCCTAAAAGATCACAGTATAGTAACTGCTACTAAATAGTTATTAGATGACTCTTTTCTCTGTGAAATGAGACGAAACAGTCTAAGACAAAAAAATTTAGGATTTGAAAATGGATAAAATTAAGGATTATAAAAGTATCTATGGCTTTCTCTTCACAATAACCTCCTTTTAATGGAATCTCGATAAGCTATATTATTCCTTAGTGAGAAAAAATGATCTTTGCCTTTCTAGATTTTGGCACATATCAAGATAATTACTATACAAGCACAGGTAAACAGACAACGTATGACCCTTGAGCAGAGAACACATTTCCACAAAACTCAAGAGTCACTCTGAAAGTAGCCAAATTACAAACTGAGTTACTTTTTACCACTCTGTTAAAATGTGATTTTTCTTTTCCTAAATAGGCCTTGATAGAAAATGCTTTACCACATCTGAATTAGGAAATGTGACCTTACCATATTAAATGGGTTCAGACTGGTAGAAGCCAACTCAGCTTACTTCCAAGTGATACGGATTTAACATGCTATTACTTTCCCTACAGAAAGCTTGACTTTAAGCAGCTTTGCTATAAGTAGCAACAAAGCTGTCCACATATTTTTAATAATGCATTGCAAATAGCAACTCTAGTTCAAAGAATTTAATATCGTAACTATCTCTGTGATTACAGTTTATCACGTTAGCATTTACTTATGAAATTTTTTAGAGTACTTAGGTTATAGTAATACTTGTTTGTATTTAAAAGACTATTTAAAACTAAAAACTGTCAAATGTTCATTATTTTCAAAGTTTCAAAATTTTATAGGCAAATTTAAACAAACATTCAGAAATAGATAAAACAATAAAACTGTTTTCTTAAAAACTATTAAGACAAATATATACAGGCTCTGGATTTACAGCCTAGTTTCAAATGTGTATGCCCTTGTGTAACTGTGAGAAAGTTATATAGATATCCTCTCTGTGCCTGAAGTTATCTCATTTGTGAAAATGAGTATAACAATGGAACTTACCTCTACAGTTTTTATGAAAATTAATTGTAAGTATAAAGCAATTAAAAGATCTGTGGCATATACTAAGAACTGTGCAAGGTCTTCTAAATTTCAACTAACTTAACTGACTAATAAGAAAAAAGCTTGCTTTATTAACAAAAAGATAACCTGCAACGTGTATATATACATATATACATATATATATACACACACGTGAGAGCCATGAGTTCTTAATGATTTTTTATTGGAAACTGCAAACTTCGTAATATATATATCGTCATTAAAGTATTTCATTTTATTACCATATCTATTTCAATTTGTAACACTTACTAAGATCCAGAGAAAGCCACCGTGTTCAAGAAATTTATCCTATATCAGATGCATCGAATCTTTCAAAGACTCTGGAATCACACCATCTCATTTTCTTCTTTATTAAATTTCCTCTGTTGACATTAGCTACATGGCAGTCTTTCCTTTATAATTTTCAAACTGACAGTTTTAACCTGAGCCATTCCATTTGATCTATTTCAAGTACTGGAGGTCTGAGTAAGATTTCATTTGTTTTTGGTCTGTTTTCCTTAAGCATAATTGCCATGGATTTGTCTAAGAGTTCATTTGAAGAAAGGATTCCACTGTTATTATAAAAACAAAAAGAAAGAAAACAGAAAAAAAAAGTAGTAGTCTGAAAACCACTGCTATATATTATCACTACTTATATATACTTAAATTTCCTAAAGATAATCTTCTAGTTAACACTAGAAAAATAAATTGAGATTTTTGTTTGGCTCAGGCTCAGCCATCAAAAAAATTTCTTAAAATTGAGTCATCCTCTCTAGTTAAGGGAAACATAGGTAAGAAAACAAGCTTCCTGTGGTAGACAAAATATCTTTGCTATGGCTACTAAGAAGTGGTGCTATCCATTTCAGACCTTAGAAAAAACAGTTTAGCAAAGTATTTCAAAACAGAAACAAAAGAAATTCAGTTATTCTAAGTGAAGTCTACATAGTGTACCTCAATAAATTAAGAGGGACTAGAAGAATTTAATGAAAAAGAAATAAAAACAGATTTTTTAAAAAAGCAGATTTTTAATTTTTTAATTAATATATTGTGTAAGAAAATTTATAAGGCTACTTTAATGCACACCAAAGTTCAAAGACATCATCATTAATAGATACTAAAGCATCAAACATGTGATGACCAAATAGCTTTCACAGAAAAATTTTATAAATAGGCTTTAAAAAAAAAAAAAAGGCTTGGTTTGGCCTGATTTTGAGGCATTCCCAAGGATATCTCATCCTTATAACCAGTAGATATCCATCCAGAAAATCTCAAAGACATTTTAATTTTAGTTTTCAAAGTACAGTGTCACTCAAATAACTAATCTGTAAGTTGTGAGGTTTAAAAAATCCATTTAAAACTAATATAAAACATTATAAATATCTATTAAAATGTGATTTTAGTTTTGAAGAACATTATTCCAAATTTTGTTTTCCTTACATACAACAAAAATGCTCCACTTATCCATCGTTATTTCCTTATATACAAAAGAAATATCCCAATTATTCACCTGTTTAATAAGGTTTTCATTTCAATAATTTAAAAAGTATCGAATTTAACTAGTTTCACAATCAAAGTAGTTCAATATCACTATTCAACTTTGTGATGCAACTATAAAATAGAACTTGATTACTGCTTTACACTGTAATGTGCATCAAAGCACAGGGCATACATTTTACTATGAGTTCTCTGTACTAAGGTTATATCAGTTAAGGAGGCAATTTTGATTTAAAAAAAAAATCCTCCTAATGATTTCAGTAAAACATACCCTAGTATTCTGAAGCACTGTAAATTCCCAGCTCAGACAAACCCATATTTAAATGAAAGAATAGGAAACCTTCCTTATTTGGGAATTCAGGATTCTTGATTTCTAATATTTCTTGCCTCCTGCTGCTGCTCTATCCTCAATCACATAGGCTGCCTACAGATAGCCCTCCTAGAGAGAGAGAAGCAAGTGTTAAAGTGCTTTAAGACTATATCTTAGTACCTATGCTTATAGGTAGGTTTGTCTGTTCATGGGAATCTCTAGAACATTTATCTTTCCTACTAAGAAATAGAGTCTATTATATAAAATTGCAGTTTAGAATCAAATAGAGATGACTTAGGAATGGATTCCTTCATTTCTAGTCTCATGAGACAAAACATGCCTTTGCCAACTTTCCAGTTTTAATTTCACTAACTTTACTATTTTTCTCAAACTGAAGCTGTCAGCATTCGATATGAAGTAGAGAACTGAGATAAATAAGTTGAGGAAGAATAATTTGCTTATACTAGGAAAGCTATTCATATTTTTAAAATTAATTAAAAGAACCTAATGGGTATCAAGACACCTGGTGGATATCTAGTCACATATACTGCATGTCCCTTTAAACAGAATAACAACTCTTACACGACTCAAACATGAAACGTTCTTAAGTCTGCAAACCTTAATCCTTCAAGGCCAAAATTTAACCACTTGTTGGCTACTGTGCCAAATTATAAGTTCTCCTATTTTCTTAACCTGTGTGTGTGGGTGCTAAGGGATTCTTCTTGTCTGCAGGGCATCATAATTGATAAGAGCCGTCACTGCTACCAACCATGTGTCAGACATCTCTAGCCTTTATCTTTCTAATTACTTGCTTCAAATCTACACAATCAAAACTAAAATTATGTGCAAATTAAAAAGTCTCAATATGTTTAGATTGTCTTTTTGCTCACAGTCTGAGTAAAATAAATAACTTTTTAACTG